ATTTAATTTTCAAGAAAAAATATTTAAATTGAAGCTACTTTTTTAGGTAATATGCAAGTTGACTTGATAACTGGAGATGGACCATAAAAATAAAAACTGCATGAGGCAAACAGTGATGCTAATAAATAATCTCTGGCTGGTGAGGAGGCGCTGTCGTTGTTGACTGCTTTCATTTGTCCACTTCTGGTTATTGGCTAGAAAATCTGCATATTAGCTGAATGTTTAGCTAAATATTCAGGTTGAAGCTAATTATTTACCTTGTCATTTAATTTGGAGCTAAAAATTTTGCCTGCTCACTAAATATTTAGTTTTAAATGAATGACTAACGTGTTTTTCTTGTTATCACACGCTAATTATTGCTGTTAATTTTTAATTTTACAAATAGCCTCATATAAGCTAGTTGATTTATTTTAAATGAAGCATCCCATCCCGTTAAAATTATCTCTGTTTTGCTTGTCTGTCTGCAATTTAGGCCTCGATGTGTGACCTACCTTGCGAGGCGAGGTAGGTCACACCTTGTCTCGCAGTCTTCCTGTCAGTCAGTGAAGTTGGCCAGATAAGTGGAATGAATGGAGAGCGGCTATTTTAGTATCCGTTCTGATTTCATTAATGCATCTCTGCTGGGAGACAAACTAATGAGTCCTAGCTCTGTGCTTCTTCATCACAACGTTTGTGCATCACCTTCAGACATTTTTTGTGCTACATCACAGCAGGCGCTCCACATCACACGCTGTGAGCTACATTCACGGCAAATGCAGGAGACTATTTTAGATTGGAGTGGGTTTCAATTTCTTTCCTTTATTACAGCCACAGAGAGGATCAGACTCGTGGAGATTCGCTTGCTGATATGTAAATACATTTGACATTTAGGGTATTAGAGAAAATTGTTTTCACCTTTTTAAAAAATGTGATTAATCTAAAATCACATTAGATGGAAATTACACAAGGAATTATGAAATCACAGCCTTGTAAAGACACACAGAGACTGAATTGCTTTTTAACCTTTACCAGACTCTGGGAGCTGGGACAACCCAGGACTGACCTGATTGGGGGAATCAGAGCGACAAAGAGGACAGAAAACATTACGCTATAATAAGACTGCATCAGACTTACAACCCTGAACATCTGGAGAAAAATAAAACACAACAGCTGGCAGAAAGTGCTGTGGATTGGCTTTCCAAGCAGATGCAGACCAGCCAACATCTGGCCTCCTTAAGCCTGCAGATCCTTCTGTTTCAGGGTAATTGTTTAATATGAGAGAAAACATCAGCTGGACCACTATACAGAAGATAATGATGATGACAAACTGTCTTAGCAAAAGTAATAAGCATCTAAAGCAGTCTTTCTCAAACAGTGGTCAGCGGGCGCCCCCTAGTGGTCCGCAGGGTACTGCATGTGAACGGCCGTTTATTTGCCGTTTCGCTCGCTGTGCAGCTAGCTTCCCAAAGCATTGTGTTTAAAATAACGATGGATAAATGGCTTTAAATCGGGTCACTCACTAGAAAAACTGATGATGCCGGTGGAAAGAAAACAAGGCCAGGAATATTTATCTAATCACAGGAAGCGAAGCTACACCTGCTGAGAGTTTGACGTGAACGACTCGATTCCCTTTGAACGAGTCTATGCCGAGTCTCAGTTCAGCTGAACTGTTCTTCGTTTTTTATGACTTCACTTGCTTATAATGCTTTGTTCATAACTATTGTTATTGTTTATTTAATTAAAAATGATTATGTTAAATTAATTAAATAAAAAAGGACAAATGCTATTGATAGAAATTCGTGGATAATTTTAATGGTGCAGAGAGAAATTTTGTTTCTGGCAAAGCAACTCAAGTCCATTTTTCTTTTATTGGGCTTCTAAATTACAAATAGAAGCACAATAATAAACAACACTAGGTTGGAAAAAACAACTTATTTTTCCATTTCCATGTGTCTGACATCAGAATCTGTAAGTAACTCAAAATGCCCTGAGTAGACGTGTTCATGGATGAACATAGAAAACAGACTAATATTTAATTTCAGGTAGTATATGCTAGCAATACATTGTATTATTGTGGAGTAATTTCAAGTGAGTGTTTGCTAAATAAGTTAATGGTCCTCAGCCTGTTTGACAAACTGATGTAAAGCATAAGCAACATAATGTCTAAAGGTCTTTTCTTCATTGCTTGTTATTTTTATTTTTGTTTATAGAGAGAAAAGAAAAGATGAATGTCCATCCTCTATATTCCTCATCGTCCAACAAGAAAATGAGACATTCTTCCCTTTCATTGTTTATGATTCTTGGTTTCTATAATAAGTGAGAGGAGATGGTGGTTTTAGCTTCATTATTTGGGACTTCTTGAATTAACAAACAGGCTTTTTGACTGTATGAGCAAAGCCAGTCAAAAAAGCATAAAAATGCTGGCAGACGGACAGCGGCGTAGTTAAAGCTTTGCGGGTCTCATTTAGAGTCGCAGACAAACAGAACCAGCCCACAAATGTTACAAATAAGAAACCTGTCAGCCCTTTAAGCACTAATCATTTATCCTGATTGCCTGGTAAGATTGCCTTTCGCTCTGATTCTAACGGATGCTGATTTGGATTAAGGTGAACAGCGGTAATGTCCCATCAGTATCCCGAACCGGTTGCTCAAAAGCTGCTGCTATCAACCTGTAATAAGACTTATACCACACTGCTATGCTTTATGAAATTCATGTCACGGATGCGACTGAGCAATTTTGCAAAGAGTAATTTGCAAAAAAATGATGTCACTGGGTGTGAAAAGCTGGTGGAGACACAATTTAACAGACTTCCAGTTGAGCCCACAAAGTGTTGACAAACACCTGCCACAATTTGGTGATTTCTTTGTTAAAATATTTGAGAAACATGGATGCTATTGTTCAACATTTTGCACAAATTTGTATGAAAAAATGCCATTAAATTACATTAGGTGTTGTGGTTGTAACGTCACAAAATACTTTGTAAAAATATATGCGCAAATACTTTGCAAGCCGCCACAGAGCAGTTAGCAGTGAGTGACAAGAGTGAGTGAAGGTTTGCACAGGCGGCAGGTTTTAGGTTTGAACGAGGTGAAATATGTGTAGAGAGAATAAAGTGTCCGAATCTTTAAACCAGGCAATTTTAAAAGTAGTTTCAGTGCTCAGGGTTAGGATCCAGAGTACCCAAAATAATTTACTCAAAAGTAGCAACACTTCAGCATATTTTTACTCAAGTAAAATTAGCCAAGAAATTACTCAAGTCTACTTGGTAAAACAGAGCAACTGATCAAATTAATATTTAAAAATTACATCATCAGACAGACAAAAGTATAAAGTTAAATGGAAATGTTGCTATTTTAAGAACAAAATCACAATAATTCATATAAGTTACAAGAAATAAAAGAAACATTTTTCCAAATATTTTTTTTCAGTGCAAAATTTAGGAAACTTTAACAAAAACTGCAGGTGTGTGTCTGTTGAACCTTAAAACATTCAGTCGGTAGAAAATACAGACATTTTATTCAAGTAAGAGTCGAAATACTTTATAATAAAATGATGCAAGTAAAAGTAAAAAGTACAGGTTAGTGAAAACACTCCTAAAAGTATAGCTTTTTACTTAAGTAAATGTAACTATAGTTACTTTCAAACTCTGACTAAATCTTTACAAACTGACCTTAAACCCTGAAGGTCTGATTCATCGGTGGATAGAAACCATCTGGGCTTCTTGATTACGCCTGAATTTATTTATTTTTCTTTCCTATTGATGTAAAAATAAATCTGCTGTTAAACCTCAGCTACAGCAGTTAAAATTAAAAGTCTTCATCAGTGAGTTTCTTCATCAGTATTCACAGAATGTGTTTGTGTTCAACCACAACAACTAAATAAATATTAAAAAGCAATGTTCAGGGTTTTCTTTCGGTGGGATAAATCACAGTATCTGTCATTCACCAGGGCAAACAGGAAGAACATGACATTTGGAAAAGATAAAAACCCAGAAAGTCACGACATTCTGATGGAAATCTGTGTTTTTCTGTCATCTAACAGAAATAGGAAGAGCAGTTAGTCTTTAAAACTCCTGTAACTGACTTTACTCAGTAATGTTTGTCTAACTCTGGTCTCTGGTCCAACTCTGAGCTTAACGGATGATACAGAAACAGTCGGAGAGCTGAAGCAGTAACCCAAATCTGCCAAAGTGCCGTCCCACAAGAACGTGATAGAAATAGCTCCATTCTAGGTCACTCTTTAATAATTGCAGAAGTAACTTCTTAACTCGGCGCTTCATTCTCGCTGTGTGTACTAAACTTCTTAAATCGTTCTTTGAGATTTGTTTGGTGTCTCTTGAACGTTTTGAAACCAAACCTAACCTCGGGTTCCCTCACCTTTATAACCAAAAAGACGCTACCATCATGTCAGGTCTAAGTTGAGAACTTCGTAATCTTTTTCTCTGCAAATTTCCTTTCGGCCAGAGAAATGGCCAGTAAAGTCAGCCGCTCATTGATTTTCTCTCTGCTTTGCAACAAGATGTACTGTCCTGATCTCAAGAGGGACTGAATCCCTTCGTCCTTTCTTTCCAGATCAGGTCACAGCAGAGTAAACACACGGACGGATGCAGGAAAATAAATCCTCAACACTGCAAAAACAAAATCTTAGCAAGTAATTTTGGTCTAGTTTCTACTGCAAATATCTTAGTTCACTTGAACAAAACTAACTGGAGTTTGTTTTTAGTCAATAATTCCTTCATGTTGATGAGAAAGTTGTAGTTCCACTAGCAGATTATTTAACTTGTAACAAGATATTTTCCCAGTGTCATAAATGAAATATTCTGCCAATTGAACAAGTACTTTTTCATCTATATTGAGAAAAAAGCTCTTGTATGTTGCTGAAAAGTTACTTGCACCAGAAAATAGACCAAAGTACTTGGTGAGATTTTGTGTATTTTCAGAGAACGCAGCGTTTTCTCCTGCAATCTCCAAACTCTGAGTTTAAATGTGAAGTTAATTCATCTGTGTCTGGTTTCCTGCAGTGGACACCGATGGCAGGAAGTTGAAGGGAGGCATCCAGAGGAGCACGGAGACGGGTTTGGCGGTGGAGATGCCGAGTCGGACCGTCCGCCAGGCCAGCCATGAATCCATAGAGGACAGCATGAACAGCTACGGCTCCGAGGGGAAGTGAGTAACCACAGGCCGTCTGGCCAAAAGGGAAAACAGCTGCAACACTAAATGTCTTTTAAAATCCTTTATTTAAAAACTGGTCATTCTTATAACTGGACTTAAGTGTTTTTGATAAGCAGTTCTCAGTCTTTGTCAAATCTGGTACTGAAACTGTTTTGTTCATGGAGCTAAAATAACTCAGAATTTCCTGTAAATCTGACATTATCTCAGACATAAAGCTGTTTTTTCACTGACAAAGTGATGAAAACTTTCCATCATGTAGATGAGAAGCTGCTTGTCTAACTGCTGTCAGGTGTTTCTGGAAATATAACTTTTCTTCAGTAGATGAGCATCCAGTGAGCCAGGTTCTGCTGCAGGTTTCCTCCTGTTAACGGGGAGTTTTTCCTCTCCACTGTCGCTCAGTGCATCCTCAGCCAGAGGGATTGCTGTAAAGTCAACAGCTCACTTGTTCAATGTCTCTACAGAATCATTCTGCTGATTTTCTTCATTTTTTATGGGGTTTCAACAGTAAACAGAACTGGACTGTTTGATTTTAATCTGTAAGATTAGACTGAATTTCACTTTTCTGAGACATGTTGTAAATTCAAATAAATTTAATTTAATAAATTATTTTTAATACACTTTTCCATTTCTAAAGCACATACTGCATGACATGCTCTGTGGGTTTAGAACAACAAAAACAAAGTCAATATTTGGAAAACATTTTAAAAACATTTTTCCGTAATTCTACTTATTGTTTACATGAAGTCTAGATTTGAATCAAAAGGAGATGAATTACAGAGTTTATTCTGCAAGAGAACGTGATGACAGACTAATGTAAACTGAATATAATGTAAATTTCATTTTACTTTTCAACAAAGATAACTGGAGCGCTAATTTCATAATTTATTGCTGTGACAATGTCACAGAAAGTTGTTAGCACATTATAATAATCATATCCATCCTGCTTAAAAAGTTCATCATTTTTGTTGTGGGTGTTCATTTCATAATTAGATTACACACAGCCTTTTCATTGTTGACTAATTTTGATAAAGTGATTTTGGAGCCAGTTTATCTTTTGAATGAACCTGAAATAAATAAAGAAACCTGCAGCTTCGTGACCACTGGGTTTCCACAAACTCCACAGAAACAATTAGAGAATTATTTTGTCTTTTAAAGGTTAGAGCTGATTTCCAAGTGTTGTGTATGTTGGTTCCTTTCATCCGTCTGAGGAAGATGAGTAATAACAGCATAGTACTACTACACATACAGACACATGGCCACATGCAGAGCTCTGCCAACCTGGATACCGGCTCCAGTTTCAACAGTTACATAACGAGGCAGACAGACCGGCTGATGCGAGCGTCATGGTGTCAACAGAAACATGGGCTGCTGGGAAGCACAAGTAGAGAGACTGAAAGTCTGTCTGAATCCACATTACCTTACACAAATTTACAGAAGAGGCTAAGTTTGTGCTGCACAATGAAAGAAAAATGCCGTGATGATGTGAAAATCCTAATGCGTTTATTTTGGAACGTCGTCACCAAGTTCCTCTGTTCATCAAAGGTCTGGATGTGGAGAAAAACAGAATGATTTGTATAAATACCACATCAAACTGACCATAATTAGAAAAATGTCATTTTTCATCATGCAAACAATTTGAAACAGAACAAGGAGACAGCCGAGGCGCAGAGAGGAGAAAAACTGAATCTGAGTAATCAGTCTGAGCCTGTTTGACTCAAAGCTGTGTAAACTATTCCTCAAATTCAAGTTTCTATGATTATCTTGCAACATCTCCCTTCATATCATATCATAAATGACTGCTGAGCTTCGATAAAGGAGCAGAAAGTCACTGCTGTAATGTAGTATTATCTATACATGGAGAATAGAAATAAAAATACAGATTTATAAAGAAAAAATGTGATATTTTAATTTTCCCTTTAAGATATTACAGAAAAAAGTAGATTTTTGCAAACTGAAGTCTAGAAATGTGTAAGAATGGCCACATTTCACTTTTTATTTACTTACGTTTTTATAATTAACCCCACAGAAAAATGGCAGCTCAAACTGTTAGTGATGCAGCAGTTTATGCTACTTACAGCTAACTCAGTCAGGTGACCCAGACTTTTATTCAACATCTTCCCCGTCACTCTGCTGTATGAGAGTCTTCTGGAGCCACACAGGCATTCAGACTGTCGGAGTTTAAACAGAAAACTTTATGAATGAGAATGAAATGGGTTTAGTTTGGGTTGTGTTCAGAATCAGACACTGATTGGCTCCTTACAAATGATTTGAATCAACTCAAAACAGTTTATACTGAAAAACACTTTAATGTGAAAGAGAGGCAGGTATGGAAATCATCACCTTCTGGTGTTAGTAATGATTACCTGTAAAGAGAATCACCATGGAAGAACATCCAGGTTCAGTGATGAAGCATCTCAAAGATGATGTTTAAAGATTCAGACCAATGGATGGGAAAGTTCAGGAAAACTTAAAAGAATGAAAAACACACAAGTAACAGCAGCCAGATGGAGTTGTGTAACTCATTACTGTACAAATTTATATACTTTCTTAATAAAACCCTTTTCAAATTTAGAAGTTTTTTAGTATATAAATAAATAAAATCAAACTCCAAAGCAACAAAACACTAGAACAACATGGAGGAACAACGTATGACTGATGAAATTAAATGTAACTTTTATGAATACCAATTTCTGCAAAATCTGCAGGATGGTTTTGATCTCATTGTCATTTTTCAATAGAAAAAAAACTTTTAAAAATAAAGCTAAAGGCACCAGCTGTAATAAAAATAACTTTATGTATAAAATAAGTGATTCATATCTGAGCAGCGTTGTGACAATGAATCATTTCCGTCAGCCGTTTGGCTCAGCATGCTGATTGGAAAGCTCTGTGCATGGACACATCCTGCAATGAATAAGCACTTTGTCAGCTAACACCATCCAATCACATTTATGGGCTTATTGATTAATGATTGGGGTATTTTAGTGTGTGTGCTGCTGATGGCGGCGATGAAGCTAAAACTGAAAGGTGGAAACTGACTGAGCTCCAGGAGGATCTGGCCTAAAAACAAAGCAGCTCATGATAAGGTATGGTGGAGGATCTATGATGCTGAGGGCCTGTTTCTCTAACAAAAGGAACGTCGTTACACAATATGGCATGGCAAACTTTTTAAAATAGCAGAATATTTTAAAATAAAAGTCTGGAAGCCTCTCATGTTTTGGTTGACAAACGATCCAATGCAGAACAGACTGAAGGAAAAATGAATATTTTTAATAGAGAATACAGCATCATGATCCATGTTTCTGTGTATTTATTTTAGTTTTCTGTGTTCAGTTCCTTCCTGTGAGTCTCTGTCCACCTGTTGTCTTTGTCTCTTGTTGGGTCCTTGTCTAAGTTTGTCTTATGTCAATTGCTGTCTACACTCTCCAGTGGAACTGCCAAGTCCTGGTTTGTGTTTGCTCGCATGTTAGTCCTGTTAGTCAGTTGCTACCGGCAGTTTAGCTGTGTGCTTGTCTCCTGCTGTGCTGCCTGTCTTGGACTGTTTCCCTGAGCAAATAACCATTAAACCATCATATTCTTCATTTTCCCTGGATCCAAGTGTCATCTCCTCACCATCAACCACCACCCTTTATGACATAAAGAAGTTAATTTATAGGGAGGAAAACCTCAGGAAAGCAGGTCCAGAAACAGGGTAAGATAAGAATCCAGGATCAAACGCTAGCTGCATTTCTATTCATCACAAAACGGTTTTCTACAAAAGTTTTTGTTCTAGGATAAGTTTTTTTTCCTGCTGTATCAAAATTAGTGTAATTCACAAAACTGCAGTGAAAGGATTATCTCTTAATAAAATAATTGTCCAAAAACATTTGAGCAGATCAATACAGAAATGGTTCAGCATAGTTCCAATAACTGAATATGAGAAAAATTAAAGTTTTCAGATTAAATGCTTTTTTTTAGTGTTTCAGTTTGAAATGTTGCTGCTGCAATAAAGATACACTTATTTTTTAAAATATTTTTTTAAATGTCTTTATTTGTGGCTGCAGCTAAATCAACAACAATAATAAGTCTGTTGACATTAATGAATCAGACAGAATAAAGAGGAAAGTGACCAGAACAGAGAAGGTCTCGTTAATGTCGTCCATTTTGAGTTGCTCTGTCGTAACGAACCAACCAGCAGCAGAGAGTCCCATTAGGTCTGAAATGCCGTTTTTGGGGTGTGTTGTTTGTTTACAGCATGAGGTTTGCATCGAACATCAGATTGTGTGAAACAGCAGCGTAATCCCCAGATGTGCTCCACACACACACGTAATAATCTGAAGCTCAGGATTTTATCACCCTCTAATACCCGGGCGACCAGCGCTGCCTGACTCACTGCATGCCAAACCATATTTTCACGGCTCCAGAAAGGATATTTCAGCTGTTTAAAATCTGCAGGTCAAGTTTTAAACTGCATCGTGGATCTGTTAAATTCTGTTAAGGTTGTATAAAACCCCACTGACACTGTTTACAATTTTAAAGAGGATTCATGATTATCACAGCTATTCATGATGATTTGATGTTTCAAAGGTGAATATATAATTCCAGTTATTTGCTGCCATTTTGTATTGGATGTAAAAGATTTGCTTTAGGGATAGTTATAGAGGAAAATATGGTGTAAAAGGAAGGTTTATAAAGGGAAACAGAGACAGGCTGATGAGACGGAACAATCTGAGAGGGAGATAAATACGAGGTGCACATTAAGTCGGTTCCTGTTTGAGCGTTTGGTCAAAAGGCCACTTGGCTTTAACAATGCCAAACTCACAGGAGCAAAATTGATCCACATCTTTGGACATAGTTCTGACTAATGGTGCCTCTAAACGGGTTCGGTTTATGATATTCCACAGAGATCGGCCTATTGTGTGTCACCAGTAAATATACGTTGAAGGAGTTTAGTTAAAATGCAAACCAGTTAAAAAGAACAACCAGGGAAGCCACTCTTTGACAGCTGCTGCAGAAAC